CGCATCTCTTTTTATAGAAGAGTCGGAGGTCTTCTTATAGAAGACCCGGAGGTCTTCTCATAGAAGACCCGGAGGTCTTTTCATAGAAGACCCGGAGATCTTTTCATAGAAGAGCCCGAGGTCTCTTCTCATAGAAGAGCCGGAGGAGGTCTCTTCTCATAGAAGAGCCGGAGGAGGTCTCTTCTCATAGAAGAGCCGGAGGAGGTCTCTTCTCATAGAAGAGCCGGAGGAGGTCTCTTCTCATAGAAGAGCCGGAAGAGGTCTCTTCTCATAGAAGAGCCGGAGGAGGTCTCTTCTCATAGAAGAGCCGGAGGAGGTCTCTTCTCATAGAAGAGCCGGAGGAGGTCTCTTCTCATAGAAGAGCCCGAGGTCTTCTCATAGAAGAGTCCGAGGTCTTCTCATAGAAGAGCCGGAAGTCTTCTCAAAGAAGAGCCGGAAGTCTTCTCAAAGAAGAGCCGGAAGTCTTCTCAAAGAAGAGCCAGAGGTCTTCTCATAGAAGAGCTGAAGGTCTTCTCATAGAAGAGCTGAAGGTCTTCTCATAGAAGAGCTGAAGGTCTTCTCATAGAAGAGCTGAAGGTCTTCTCATAGAAGAGCTGAAGGTCTTCTCATAGAAGAGCTGAAGGTCTTCTCATAGAAGAGCTGAAGGTCTTCTCATAGAAGAGCCCGAGGTCATCTCATAGAAGAGCTCGAGGTCATCTCATAGAAGAGCTCGAGGTCATCTCATAGAAGAGCTCGAGGTCATCTCATAGAAGAGCCCGAGGTCCTCTCATAGAAGAGCCTGAGGTCTTCTCATAGAAGAGCCCGAGGTCTTCTCATAGAAGAGCCCGAGGTCTTCTCATAGAAGAGCCCGAGGTCTTCTCATAGAAGAGCCCGAGGTCTTCTCATAGAAGAGCCCGAGGTCTTCTCATAGAAGAGCCCGAGGTCTTCTCATAGAAGAGCCCGAGGTCTTCTCATAGAAGAGCCCGAGGTCTTCTCATAGAAGAGCCCGAGGTCTTCTCATAGAAGAGCCCGAGGTCTTCTCATAGAAGAGCCCGAGGTCTTCTCATAGAAGAGCCCGAGGTCTTCTTATAGAAGAGCTGAAGGTCTTCTTATAGAAGAGCTGAAGGTCTTCTTATAGAAGAGCTGAAGGTCTTCTCACAGAAGAGCCGGATCTCTTCTCACAGAAGAGCCGGAGGTCTTCTTATAGAAGAGTCGGATCTCTTCTCACAGAAGAGCCGCATCTCTTTTTATAGAAGAGTCGGAGGTCTTCTTATAGAAGACCCGGAGGTCTTCTCATAGAAGACCCGGAGGTCTTTTCATAGAAGACCCGGAGATCTTTTCATAGAAGAGCCCGAGGTCTTCTCATAGAAGTGCTCGAGGTCTTCTCATAGAAGGGCCGGAGGTCTTCTCATAGAAGAGTCGGAGGTCTTCTCATAGAAGACCCGGAGGTCTTCTCATAGAAGACCCGGAAGTCTTCTCATAGAAGACCCGGAGGTCTTTTCATAGAAGACCCGGAGGTCTTTTCATAGAAGACCCGGAGATCTTCTCATAGAAGAGCCCGAGGTCTTCTCATAGAAGTGCTCGAGGTCTTCTCATAGAAGGGCCGGAGGTCTTTTCATTGAAGGGCCGGAGGTCTTTTCATTGAAAAGCCCGAGGTCTTTTCATTAATGAGCCCGAGGTCTTGTCATTGAAGAGCCTGAGGACTTCTCATTGAAGAGCCCGAGATCTTCTCATGGAAGAGCCCGAGGTCTTCTTAGAGTTATAATAAAGTCCGCAATAATAAAAAAATCCACTATAAAGATTAAATGTCAAAACTTGGACTTTCTTGGAAAACTATAAGGCAATATAACTTGGTTTTTATAGGATTTTCACTTAGTCCTGCAAGTCGTATTTTATTACGACACTATGAAGGTCAATTATATCAAAGTGTTTTCCACAGTAAGAAAAGGAATGTTGACGGTTATGGATGAAGGATTATATCTACAATTACAGTCCCCTATATTCCTCCAAGAATTATCCACGATAACAGCAACCTGTCAAAAAATGAAATCCTCCAGCCTTTAAAAAAAAAAACTATAAAACAATTAATTTTAAAAGCCTTCGGTTTTTTTAATCCAGAATTTTTAACCTGATAATCCTTCAAAAAAATATAGATCTCCAAATACATTTTTCTTTCAAAAACTCTTAATTTTTTGCCTGAAAGACCAACTAAAACAAATTATACTAAGTTTTTGCCGCTAAAAATTGTGATAGTCCTATATATACTTCCAAAATTCTCGGTCTAATATTCCTTTAAAAAGTATTTTTTTTTTTATTATAACCCCTCGAAAATGTTAAAAATAATTAATAGTATTACGTTTTATATATTATATTATATATATATATATTATATTATCGACATGTAGTTTACCTCAGTTAAATTTCGGAATATAATATTATCAAAATATCTAGTCACAATTGTCATGCTACTCCTCTGCCATCTAGTGCTATGTAGCAAAAATTAAGTAATTTTTATTTAGTACTCACTCCCAGTTCGTAACGAAGCCAACAACCTTTTGCGGTTTAAATTACGATTTTATGGAATTTGAAGTTCGTATCGCAATCAACAACCTTTCCTAGTCTGCATCAAACGCCATACGCTTTCATTGTGTGGCAACACACCCAGTTATTAGCAGTATAACTTGTTTTGTTTGATGCACCCTGTGATTGTTAAGTAAGACAGGGGCAGTCACCACAAATGATTGCCTTCGTCGTGGCTGAGGGAATTCACTGTGAAGGGTATTTTTTTCCTTCTTGCCGAAAAGTATGCTTTGAATATACGAAACTAGATTAGATATGACTGAGCATTTGATAATACGTGTACATCTACAATAACAGCCTTTTTTATACCTATATTCCCATTCTTTTGCAAATTTGTCGAACAAAAAATACATTTGGGGTTTTGGAGCAAATGATATTTATGTCATTCACATCTACAAAAAACTTTTTTCCTCATTTATTTTTGGGGTTTTATAGAGAGAACACCAGAAAAAATAGAAGAAGTGTCATGGCTGAATAATTCAAAGAAACTTGGAAAATGCAACTCTGTACTGCAGCCATACTATGTCATATACAGGGTGAGATGAAACAACTACAACCAACTTCAGACTGCTGTCATTTCTAAGCCACTTGTCCGACAGCTGTTAAAATTATTCCAGTGATAGGTCATTAGATTGTTTACAAGCCTACAAAAGCATTTTGGTGAGAATTTGCCAGAAAAAAAGTTATTCGCGATGGAATTCAAGCGTGATAGTGTGATGTCTTCATATTTGGCTGGAAAACCACAAGTGGCTATCGTTAGAGCACTCCAGCATTTAAATGTGAATAAATCTTTTGTGTCCCGTGCCATCCCTATGATATGATACCGGTAGCGTAGCCTGACGTTAAGGAAGTGGACGATGGAAAACAGCAACATCAGCAGAAATGGTTCGAAATGTAAGGAAGCGTCTTGATCGAAACCCGCGTCGCAGTGCCCGAAAAATGCCTCGTGAGCTGAACATATCGCAATATTCCATTCGGCAAATATTGAAAAATGAATGGAGCTCGGGTTAAGCCATTGAAATTACAAAAAGTGCAAGAACTTACACCGCAACAGAAAGAAAATAGACTCAAAAGAGCTAAAGAGTCGCTTCGCTTGGCCGAAAGTGGGGAACTGCCGAATTTTGTCTTCTCCGATGAGAAAACATTCGTTGTCCAGCAGTTTGTAAACAAACAAAATGATCGTGTTTACTTGCCAAAGAGGTCAGCTGAAAATGTGCACCTTCGGTTGGCCACCAGAACTCAAGCGCCGACCATGGTGATGGTGTGGGCCGCCATAACAACGGATGGTCGGTCGTTCTCCGCTCGCATTAATCGACCGTGACATCAGGGTAAATGCCGAATATTATAACGAAAATATTCTGGAGGGTATATTAAAGCCGCAGACCTTGGACATTCCAACAGGACTCAGCACCATCGCACTCAGCACGCGCCACCCAAGAATAGTTACAAAATGAGGTTCCTCGCTTCATTTCCAGCGCACAATGGCCACCAACATCTCCGGATACCAATCCGTTGGACCATTGTGTCTGGAGTATTTTGGAAAGCAAGGTTGGCACTAAAAAATAACAATGCGTCGATCACCTCAAGCAAGCGCTTCGCCGGGAATGAGCCAAAATACCGCAGAGCAACATTTGGGCAGAGTGTGATAGTTTAATTGGCCGTTTGAAGGCCATAATTCGTGCCAAAGGAGACCAATTCGAACAAATCTAAGCTTATTCTAAAATTTGATGCTATTTCCGACATTTTTTTGCTTTCATTCAATAAAATTTAAAAAAAACATGTAAAATTTGTGGCGTTTGACTTTGTTGCAGTTTTTTATATCACCCTGTATATACCAATTCTTCGTTTCGCTGTGGCACAAATATAAATATTCTTGCTGAGTTGGCACAATAATACTAAACAATCGTATCAATTCACTTGGTCATTGCAAGTAAAATGATGTGTTATATAATATCATTTTCATGATTGCCACAATTTTTAATTCATTATAAGTGGCAAATTATCACGATTAATTCAGATACGTATTTTGTAGATAAACGCGTAATATAATAAGTTATAAAAATATTCACGGATGACATTATTTTTATTTATCGACCTACTCATCCCTATTCCATATAATCCAATCAATTACAAAATGTAACAGCATGTAAACAATTAATAGACATTTTGACATCTTTCTGTAGATTAATTTAAATAATAATCACTCATTGCACTGTAAAAAGTATCCAATGTTGTATTATTTTATGAAAAAATAAACGATGCCACGAAAATCATTCACTCAACCAAGCTATTAGTCGACCTACACATCCCCATTAAAGGGCATGCCAGTTTATTCGTGAATTCCCCCATTCCATGACATTCACGGCACCCGTTTCTCAGTGATTACCCTTGTACTTGCCTTTCCACGACATTCTTATATTAGTAAGTTGTAAGTTGGTTGGTTAATAAGTTTCCGCAGAAGAAAAAAACTCGGTATAATTTCAATAAAAAAAATTTAAACAGAATAAAAAGAAATAAACAAAAAATATCTAGAATACAGTGAATATAAAATTACAAAGATAAATTATTTGAAATAAAGTGGAAAATTGAATGCAAAGAAAAACGAGATACGAAAAAAACAAAAATGAAAAAATAAAAAGTGAAATTTTTGCCGCATATGAAGTAGAAAACATTCTAGAGACTACTTTGTGGGCTCTGCTTTTTGCCCCCCATGATCTTCCACCCGCATTTCGGTGTGTGTGCGTGTGCAGAGCACGAAGCCGATCGGCTCGCAGTCGGCGTGCAGCCGCCGCCGACTTTTTTTAAGTGATCTGAGCCGCCGCTGATGTATGCGGCTCTCATCGGCTCAAATTTTTAGCCGACTGAATCGGCTAAGCCGTTGAAAAATATAAATTTATACAGCAAATTTGTATAAATATGTCTTTTAATCTTATCGATAAATTAACATATTATAATGCTCATTATTGGATAATTTACATTGCGCACTCGTCTTCGAGAGGCAAAAACGTGTAGGCTATTTATATTAATTATACCCTACACCACATTGTGGTAAGGGTATTATGTCTTTGTAGATTTGCTTTTTTTATCAGAAAACCTTTGGCAACCTTTTGCAACTTACGAATTTTGATGGAGTGGCAACCATATTGTTTGCCAAAGATTCGTTGTGTTTTTGCTTGTTCAAGGAAAATAATGCAAAATGTACCAAAGGAATATTAAAAATTATTTTTCCGCTGACCGAAAGGGTCAAACAGTTTTGACTAAATCAGAATCCGATTCAGACGAATCTGTTGATTCTTCTAATGTACAAAATAACGTAGAGTTAGAAATAAGAAAATATTTGGAAATGAAAGTCGAGGCGGTTGAGCCTCTAGATTGGTGGCGACAGAACAAACAAGTACGTTAAAGATTCACATCTTAAACTTGTTTTAAGCATGTTACGTTTTGACCATTTACTTTTTATAGATTTTTCCAAATGTTGCTACTGTAGGAAATATGTGCTTTGGAATTTCAGCCACATCAGCATCTTCAAAGCAAGCATTTTTATATGCCGGGAATTGTGTAAATGCTAAGAGAAGCAACCTGCATCCGGCAACAGTAAAGAAACAATTGTTTGTTCACGATAACAAGGCGGTCGTCGAACCATTTTTATCAAATTGAAGTATTTTTATTATAATTTTTAATGTGCTATAAGCAACAAATGTGCATATAAACTTATATTTTCATTTTTATTTTAAATGAAATGAATTGACAGTTATTAAAACAACCGAAATTATTTGTTCACGTTAAAGTCGTCGGCTGTAGCCGACTTTTAGCCGCCGCCGGCCGTATATTGCTTTAGCCGCCGCCGCCGAGAATTTCACATCGGCTTCGCCCTCTGTGCGTGTGTTTGGTTGTGAAGAATTGGCAAACGCCGCCGTCGCACCGTCGTTGCCACCACCAGCACAGAGGGCGAAGCCGATGTGAAATTCTCGGCGGCGGCGGCTAAAGCAATATACGGCCGGCGGCGGCTAAAAGTCGGCTACAGCCGACGACTTTAACGTGAACAAATAATTTCGGTTGTTTTAATAACTGTCAATTCATTTCATTTAAAATAAAAATGAAAATATAAGTTTATATGCACATTTGTTGCTTATAGCACATTAAAAATTATAATAAAAATACTTCAATTTGATAAAAATGGTTCGACGACCGCCTTGTTATCGTGAACAAACAATTGTTTCTTTACTGTTGCCGGATGCAGGTTGCTTCTCTTAGCATTTACACAATTCCCGGCATATAAAAATGCTTGCTTTGAAGATGCTGATGTGGCTGAAATTCCAAAGCACATATTTCCTACAGTAGCAACATTTGGAAAAATCTATAAAAAGTAAATGGTCAAAACGTAACATGCTTAAAACAAGTTTAAGATGTGAATCTTTAACGTACTTGTTTGTTCTGTCGCCACCAATCTAGAGGCTCAACCGCCTCGACTTTCATTTCCAAATATTTTCTTATTTCTAACTCTACGTTATTTTGTACATTAGAAGAATCAACAGATTCGTCTGAATCGGATTCTGATTTAGTCAAAACTGTTTGACCCTTTCGGTCAGCGGAAAAATAATTTTTAATATTCCTTTGGTACATTTTGCATTATTTTCCTTGAACAAGCAAAAACACAACGAATCTTTGGCAAACAATATGGTTGCCACTCCATCAAAATTCGTAAGTTGCAAAAGGTTGCCAAAGGTTTTCTGATAAAAAAAGCAAATCTACAAAGACATAATACCCTTACCACAATGTGGTGTAGGGTATAATTAATATAAATAGCCTACACGTTTTTGCCTCTCGAAGACGAGTGCGCAATGTAAATTATCCAATAATGAGCATTATAATATGTTAATTTATCGATAAGATTAAAAGACATATTTATACAAATTTGCTGTATAAATTTATATTTTTCAACGGCTTAGCCGATTCAGTCGGCTAAAAATTTGAGCCGATGAGAGCCGCATACATCAGCGGCGGCTCAGATCACTTAAAAAAAGTCGGCGGCGGCTGCACGCCGACTGCGAGCCGATCGGCTTCGTGCTCTGCACCAGCACCACCGACAATCTGATTGCTGCGTTTTTCCAAGTTATTTTTATCAAATTATGTGAGCGCTGTGCCTTTTGGTTTGTTTCGATTTTGATTTTGGGGAAATTAAGGTGATTTTTTTGATGTGTGTTTATGTGAGGAGAATTTTTGGAGGAAATTTCTGGTCAAAAAAAAAATGTATAAATATATGTGTGTATATGAGGTTTTGATTTAGATTTCCACCTTGTTTTCGAATCAAAAAAAGACAAAAAAAATCAACAACAAGAATTAAATTCTAGTTCGTTGCCCCCCGTTTTCATTTTTTTTTTTGTTGTTCTGGCAAATGTAATAAATTGGTTAGTGTTGCTGTGGCGGCTTGTTGTTGTTGTTGGCAAATCAGGCTGGCTGAAGCTGTTCATACAGCCTGCCTGCCAGCCAACCAGCCCTTTTCGTTACCACCAGCAGAAAAAAAAGTGCAACAAAAAATGTTGGGGAGAAGACAAAATGAGCAAGCAAGTTGCACCCAGCAACGACGACGTTCATTCTGGCTAACTACTGCTCCGCGCACATACACACCACAAACAAAAAAATTAAAGTAGAATTTCCCTTTGAAAACAAGTTTTCCTCTGGCCGAATTTATCCTCTCCCATCAGTCTAGGCAGGCGGCATCTTCTGCTTCTTGCTCCTCTTCTTCTTCTTTCTTCTCTGGGCATCGTAATCAATTTTAAATAATTAAATTCACATAATTTTCCAAATTTTATTTCATTAAACATTCCAAACGGCTTTGTTTGTTGTTTATTGCTGCCTCCCCCTCTTTATGGCTTTCTCAAGCCAGCCACCACCATTACACATTTTCAGTGACACCGCCTTGCCCTTTTTTCATTCTCCATGCAAGCGCACGCATAGGCCAATGTCGTCGTCGTCGCCGGTTTGCTCTCGAAGTACAAAATTCATCTGTCAATCAGTTTTTACATCCCCCTTCAAAAAGAACAGAAAAAAAAACATCAAAGCAATAACAAAAAAAGAGGAAAAATCAATCCCATCTGAAATAACTCCCAAATAGTTTCTCACATAGTTTCGTTATCAACACAAACCAAATCAGCAGCATCATCATCATCGGTATTTGAAAACACCATTATCATCTCCTCATAATTGTCATTAGTTTATATTGTCTTGTTCTTCTTCTTCCTTTTGCCCAACAACATCAATTGGAATTGGATGCCAGACTATAAGAGATTTTCCTTCTTGTTGAACATTACAACAATCCAAACCAAAACCCAAACAGAAAGAACGAACCCAACAACAACAACAAAAAACAATACACACAAAAAAGCATCATCAACTTCACATACAAAATTAAGAAACAACAACAAAAACAGCGGCAGCATGCAATTGTTAAGAGCACAACAACACAACACACCCAATAAAAGAGACATTGGTACAGAGCGAGCATAACAGAACAGCAATCGGCCATTAATAACACACAACAAGAGACGACAGCAGAGGTAGTAGAACAGAACAAACACGACGTCATCATCACAACAATTTCGGAGAATGCCGACATTTCCAAAACCAAAAACCCCCAAACGAAGAATTCAACAAAGAGTCGTTTGTTGTGTGTTGTGGGGGGCAAGCAAGCAAACAACAAAAAGACAAAGAGCGTGAGAGAAGAGAGTGCAATAGAGAAAAAAGGAGTGTTATCATTTGTGAATAGAGCGGAGCAATATAAAAGGACGTCATGTGTTCACAGCATTGCCAGATGGGAAATTTGAATATATTATTAGGTAGGGTATACACGAATAAAATTTTCCTGGTTTATGAGTGACATCTATTTAAAAAAATGATTTTTTATAGTCATTTCTCAACGAAGATATGAGTAAATGCAATAATCTGAGTAGTAAGCAAAAAAAAAACGATACTATTGGGCCACAACATTGCCAGATGAATGAAATTATAGATATCTTCAATTAAGTGGGGTATACACTTTGAATCACATTAATTAGCAATACAGAGATTAATATCTATCCAAGGGGGTTACACTACAAGAACAGTAAGATAAATAGAGAATATGATAGGGCAAAAGCCTAGTATCACTTGTGAGCAATAATAAAAGAAAGGGCACTGCCAGAAAATGAGTCATTTTTAGGTGGGGTACACCGAAACAACTTTTTTATTTGGAAGTAAGGCCTTCATTAAATTAACATTACTTCTTTATTATACCCTCCGCCATAGTATGGAGGGTATATTAACTTTGTCATTCCATTCGTAACACCTCGAAATATACATTTTAGACCCCACAAAGTATATATCAGCATAAAATTCTATGTCGATTTAGCGATGTCCGTCCGTCTAGCTTCCGAACGAAATGAAGTAGGTTGATAAAATTTTACTCAAATGCATATTATATCTGCAGAACTTTTCATATTGAAAATGGGCCATTTAGGTCCACGTTTTGGTATGGCCCCCTCCCTATTTTCGGTACTTTCGTGATTTAAGCGACACTATTCACCGGAGATGTTTCATATTTGGTATGTGAAGTTCGTAATGGATACTACAGCCTATGACAGAAAATTGTCCGTGCAGGTCCTCGTCTTCGTATAGCCCCCATATAGCGGCACCTTCCGATATTCGGTATTTTGATGATATTACCGACATTATCCACCGGGAATGTTTCAAATTTGGTATTTAAAGTTCGTAACGAATGCTACAGCCTATGACAGAAAATTGTCCGCGAAAGTCCACGCTTTCGCACCTCCCAATATTCGGTAAAGAAAAGAAGAAGAAAATGTACAAAATATTTTAGTCGTCGAATAAAAAAAGGCACCTATAATGTGGCGTTTCCACTGCACTTGATTCGCTCTCTATTCGTTGTTTGCCCCTTAGCTATGAAAAAACTATCTAATTCTTCACACAAAATTTCCTGAGCGAACACTCATATTTGTACGTTGTTCAAATCAAATCACTCTCAGAACAACGAAAAAATATGTCCCATCCCTAATAAATGAGAGCATTTATCGAAAAAATAAATTATGACATTTAAAAATTAAAAATAGGAAAATTTAATGAAATTTTAAAAATTTTTGGGAAGACTGAAAATTATGAATGAAAACTACAATGTTGAATGGCGTATGTACATTCAAACGAAAGTACATTTTGTTTTCTCTCTCATCCGAGGTGCGCATTTTGTCCACGAGTTGAAATTTCCACAGAAAACTGGAAACAAAAGATTCAATATTTTCAAAATGTTTGTGTCGGCAGAAAAAATGTTTAACAAGTGTCTCTCCAGCAGAATTTGAAAATAGAAAAATAATAAAATATGACCAAAATGTCAACATTTACACAAAAAGTTGAAAACATGAATGAAAATTGTAAAATTAATGATATAACAAATCTTTGGGAGGAAAACAATAATTCTTCTATTCATATTAGTGTGAATTTAATGTATTTTCGTATAAATTCCCATTTAAATTAAACAAACAAAATTTTTGAAAAAAGGAATTATTTTACTATGAATTACGAATCGTGCCGTATGAACGGGTTAATTCGTGTACGTGATTCTGAGAGTAAACAACGTCATTCAATTTATCGTGTGAACATGCTATAAAATGTGCATTGGTAAATCAGAATAAATAATCTCATTTTAATGTCCTTTTTTGCAATAAAAAATAAGCTGATATTCCTAGTTTCAATTTATGCGTTTCTCTGACTAAATATTCGTTAAAATCTCTGATAATTAATAACTCCCACCTCTTGACACAGGTTTACATACATTTTTCTCATCTGGCAATGCCATACAAGAATTTGTCTGAACAATGTTTGGCTCCCTCTCAGCAACTATGCAACTCTCAATGGGGGGACAAACACACGAGAGACATTGAGCACCCGACACGACCTGACAATGACAGAGAGAGAGAGAGGGAGTAAAACAAACAAAAACCACACAGGCAAGGCAGCAATCATTCACACAAAAACAACGGCAACATACCCATCAACTCAACTCAGTACAAAACAAGACAGGCAGATGCCGACAATTTTATGCTCGCACAAACAACAACACCACAAAATCATACATTCATAGGAGCACGTAAACGAGACGCACTGTTGGTGGTAGATGTCGTCGTCGGTGAATTGATTTTTTGTGAATTTCTCGAATAATTTTTGTTGTTTTTTTTCATGTTTTGAGTTGTTTAAACAAAATCCGCACACCAAAAATAAAATAAACTATAATTGTGTGGTGCTCCCAATTTTCGCTGACTGACTGACTAGAGAGTACCGCGTAATGTGATTGGTGTCATTTCGTCATTGTCGCACAACCCCACCAAAATAAGTTGGGTATTATTTCGATCAAAAAATAACGAAACGTCCGGCGGTGATATTTTTGCACTTTATTTTGAGTAGACAAGTGAGGTGGTCAGTCGCCCGCGTAAAGCCACCACCGCCGCCGCCAATAGGAAATCGAAACGGTAAAGCAAGCCATCACGGTCGCCGGCAATCTTTTTAAGTGGAACACACAGCGACACACATAATTTGGATAAAAATAATTTGTTAAAAAATAACGAAAAAAGAAAAAAAATTAGACGGCATTTGATGTGAAAATAGAGCAATTAACGAAAAATAGTGGTTTCTTCGGTGCAAAAAGAATTCAAGAATTTAATAAAAATAATTTATTTCTTTTCAAGGAATAATTAATAAGAAGAAAAAGAAATAATAATTTATGATAGTGCTAAATATATATTTTAAATAACAACAACGAAAGTTGATAACCTAAAAAGAGAATAACAACAGCAACAAAAAAGGAAAACAAACAAAAATATCACAACAAAGAAACAAAAGGTTCTTCACTTAGGCTTTAACAAAAAAAACAACAAAAACAACAGTAGCATCGGCAGCAACAGCAGCAGAAGCTCCAGCTCTTATTTCTGGTGTTCATTTATTTATTAAGAAAACCTAAATAAAAAAAAACATACACACAAAATATACAACATATACACATATTTATATATCCACCAGCAGCAGCCAGCCAGCCAGCCGACCAGCCATCAAAGCCTCCAGCCCAGGGGTTTACCAAGAATCACGAAACACAACAAGAAGAGGTAGCAGCATAAACAAAGGATTAAAGCACAAAAAACCCAGCATCAGCCCAGCGTAGCAGGAATCGAGTAGAACAAACACCACCACAACCAACACAACAAAAACAAAAAACACACAACAATGGAAGCAATTGCCAAACATGATTTCACAGCAACGGCTGATGATGAGCTCTGTTTTCGTAAAAATCAAATCTTAAAGGTAAGTAAGAAGCTGGAATAGAACTTAAGAAACAAATAGATATAGATTCACTCTTTTGCAGGTATAGTTCGGAAATCACAGGCTGAGGATTTTATTTAGAAAATTATTCATTGAATGTTTTGGGGAAAATTTTGTCCAAAGGCGGGGATATGGCAGAGATTTGAGATCATTATCTGCAAATAAGACTGGGCAAAACAAAAAATAATTTCGGGGAAAATCCAGAAAGTGGAGCTATAAATAGAAGACATGTATAATGGCGTTCTCAAAAATTACATCACAAAGTAATCTAAATTGATCGACAAGTTCCCCCCTCTTCAATCCAACTTTTGCAAATTTTCGGAGTTCTTAGTTCAAAAATGTTTAGGGGCTCCATATAGCCATATATACAATATATGAAGATCTCATAGAAGTTTTGTACATCTTATCGTAGAAGATCTGTAGATCTTCTCATGGAAGTTCTGTGAGATCTTCTCATAGAAGATCTGTAGATCTTCCCATAGAATATCTGTAGATCTTCCCGTAGAAGATCTGTGAGATCTTCTCATAGAAGATCTGTAGATCTTCTCATAGAAGATCTGTAGATCTTCTCATAGAAGATCTGTAGATCTTCCCGTAGAACATCTGTAGATCTTCTCATAGAAGAGCTATAGATCTTCTCAAAGAAGTTCTGTAGACCTTCTCATAGAAGATCTGTCGATCTTCTCATAGACGATTTGTAGATCTTCTCATGGAAGATTTATAAATATTCTCATAGAACAGCTGTAGATCTTTTCATATAACACCTGTAGATCTTCCCACAGAACAGCTGTAGATCTTCTTATAGAACAGCTGTAAATCTTCTCATAGAAGATCTATAGATCTTCCCTTAGAAGATCTGTAGATCTTCCCATAGAAGATCTGTAGATCTTCCCATAGAAGATCTGTAGATCTTCCCATTGAAGTTCTGTGAGATCTTCTCATAAAATATCTGTAGATCTCATAGAATACCTGTATATCTTCTCATAGAAGATCTGTGAAATCTTCTCATAGAGGGTCTGTGAGATCTTCTCATAGAGGATCTTCTCATAGAAGATCTGTAGATCTTCTCATTGAAGATCTGTGAGATCTCATAGAAGATCTGTGAGATTTTCTCATAGAAGATTTGTAGATCTTCCAGTATAAGATCTGTAGATCTTTAGACCTTCCAGTATAAAATCTGTAGATCTTCTCATAGAAGATCTGTAGATCTTCTTATAGAAGATCTGTAGATCTTCTTATCGAAGATCTGTAGATCTTCTTATCGAAGATCTGTAGATCTCATAGAAGATCTGTAGATCTTCTTATCGAAGATCTGTAGATCTCATAGAAGATCTATCGATCTTCTCATAGAAGATCTGTAGATCTTCTCATAGAAGATCGTTAGATCTTCTTAAAGAAGATCTGTGAAATCTTCTTACAGAAGATAGAAGATCTGTAAATCTTCTCATAGAAGATCTGTGAGATCTTCTCATAGAAGATCTGTGAGATCTTCTCATGAAAAATCTGTAGATCTTCTCATTGAAGATATGTAGATCTTCTCAAAGAAGATCCTCAGATGATGACTTATAGAAAACTTTGGATTACCGATGTTTATCTCTTCTGCTGGATTTTTCCTGAATCAAAATTATTGAATTTTGTCGCATAGGGTCATTGATGTTTGGATTGGATTTTTATTCGCAATTATGATTTTTTCAGAATTCCAAGAAAATTGAATAACAATTTTGAATCTATTTCCTTTGTGATTTATCGGTTGGTTTAGAGAAATTCTTTGGAAAAAGTGTTATAGTAAACTTTGCTTACTTTGAGTCATTGACACAACATGTTTGGATCTGCTTGGTAATGTAATGGTGGTTGGAATTTCCAGAAAACCTACTAAGTAGGAAATCTGCTACCTCAATTTGTATTCTCCATAGATAAATGGGGCATTTGTCTGTGAGATTGGACTAACATGAAAATAGGTGTGTCCTTGTCGCCCAATACCAGGTATTCCCAATTTGTATAATTTTGGCATAAATTGAAAAAAGTAAGACCAGCCAGATTGGAAGATTGGATCTTGCAACTCTGAGCAAAAACTGTCCGATTGGAGGTAATTGGAGTGTAGGACTTAATGCCCTTTTCGTTACACCAAAAAAAACACATACTTCATCCACATTGTCATATGCCTTTGTTTTTTTTTTTGGCAATGACGAAAGAGTCTCGTAGTCTCTCTCTCTCTCCTTTTGCTCCCATTTTCCACAAAACAAATCTTTTTATTCTTTCCCCCATTCTTAACAAAATACTGCATTAAGAAATTTATTATTGCATAACAATAATTTCTGATCTTTTGACCCACAATCACAAATTGACCTAAATTATTTCCGGTTAGACCCCCTTTCAATTGAACTCGCAACAATTGTCGAGTGTAGATCTGCCGGCCAGCCAACTTGCCTGCCTTTGACAATAATAACTAAAATTGAATGAGTGCGTGTGAATATGCCCCCCTTTCGGAAGAAGAAACCCCCCCGCCCAAGCCAGGCAACCAACAGAAAATAACTCTATAAAGACTTTCTTAATTGAAATTGAAAGCTTTCAACATTATTTCTTGATAATGGACAAGAGAGTGGTTACAAAATATTGAAAGAAAAATGAAAACCATAAAAGAAACACAAAACCAGAGCAACAATCTTCCATAAAGTTGTCGGCATCAGAAGAAGAAAAAAAAACGACAGACGGGAAAGAAAACCAGTTAAGCAATTCAATGAAAGCGAAATTGCAACAATTACAAGAAGAAAAAAAAAACGAAACAGCGTCAGGATGACAGGCCGGTCGGTCGGTCGGTCGGTCGGACGTACGAATGAGCCATCCATTCATTAGTCCCATTCGCACTATTTACTGTCTTTTGGCCAAGAAAATAATAATTGCCTGTCTGTGTGTGGAACATGTCTCAGTTTTTGTTTTCTCAAGTAGACGGTATTTAACAGTTAGTCAATTTAATTGAAAAAAAAAAAAAAAAAACACCGTAGAAGGTTACCACGAGAACAACAAATAAACTGAGAGTTTGAGACATTTCGAAATCCATGATATGGAAAAAAAAAACACATGTCAAAAACTATCATTGTTTATTTTTTTATTACTGTGTGTTTTTTTCAGTTATTTATTTTGGGTGTCAAACATTAAAAAAAAACAGAAACAGAAAAAAAACATTAAAACAATTTTAACAATTCATAGTCCAAACACGTTTAATGGAATAAAGACACAGCGAAAATGAAAAAGCAAAATGCGTTAAGAAACTCAGACACACACGCCCAACAAATTGATGGCCAATAAGTCACAAAACGTGTGTAGGTCATGCAATTGAATGGGCGAGGGGGGTTTATGGCCATTGAAGAACTACACGCGCTCTACCGGAGATTTACATTTATGAAGGCTATATTTCAATTAATGTAATTGTAGTCTCAATAATTTATCTAAAAATATTCGGAAATACATTTCAGATATAAAATCGTTATCTTGGACAATTTATATACCTCAAGATTTTTTGTAATATTTTTGGTAGTATACAGTGAGAGTCAAAAGAAAGTGTACACGAATGTTTATTATGTTCCATGTATTATATAAACCATATCAAGTAATATTGTATACAACAAATTATGTTTTTTGAAAATGGTATTTACCCCTCTCTTATTTTCTAAAAGAAAAGTTAACAAAATCCCACAAATAGAAAAATTGCATAACAAAAACAAAAAATAGTCCATATGTGACGCGTCAAAAGAAAGTGTACAATGCAAACTTAATATATAAATTCATATATTAATATATATATTAGTATTTTGTTTGCTTCCCATTTGCTTGAATTACAGCCTGTAATCTTCTCGGCATCGAATTGACTAAATTTTCGGTTACTTCGCGTGAAATTTTTTGCCATTCCTCCAATATAGCCGATTTGAGCGAGTCCTTGCTACGAATTTCTTTCTTTCTTATTTCGCGATCGAGATGTTCCCACAAATGTTCGATTGGGTTGAGGTCCGGAGATTGGGGAGGGTGATCCAATTGCTTAGGAGTGTGATAAAGCAGCCATTCCTTAACTATTTTTGAAGTATGCTTTGGATCATTGTCTTGTTGAAAGATCCAACCTCGATCCAAGCGCAACTTTTCAACACTAGGCTTCAAATTTTCCTTTAAAATGTTAAGGTATTCCATTTTATTCATTGTGGTTTCTATGAAAACCAAGTTACCAACTCCACCAGCTGCCATGCATCCCCAGACCATCACTGAACCTCCGCCGTGCTTTACAGTGGATACTAAATTCTGTTCCGCAAATTCACTGTTTTTGGTCCTCCAAATTTTAGCAGGTTTCCTTTTGCCAAAAATTTCAAATTTGCTTTCGTCGCTAAATATTATATTATTCCAGAAAGAAATATCTTTATTTTTATATTTATTAGCAAAATCGAGTCGACGTTTTTGGTTGGTTTTGGATATTAAGGGTTTTCTTCTTGGAACCCTTCCATGAATCCCGTTAGCGTGTAGTGCTCTACGTATTGTACTGGCACTAACAGTAGTTCCAGACGATTCTGAAATTTCTTTGGATATTTTAACGGCACTTTCTACAGGGTTTTTCTTTACATTTCGTACAATCGATCGTATTTGAACCTCATTCAGTTTTCTTGTCCTGCCACATTTAGGACGATTTTCCAATTTTTGGAACTTTTTGTACTTATCAATTATTTTTTTCACCGTATTGTGGCACCTGCCGATAGTTAAACCAATTTCACGCAGTGTTTTTCCCTCATTGTGAAATTTTATGATAAGCTCACGTGTATCGAGTGAAGTTTGTTTACCCATTATGGAAAATTTTTTAGAATGTCTTCAAACTTCAATTGTTGCTGACCAATTCACTACTAAATCATTGACAGTATTAGAACCAATAAAAGAAAAACAAGCAGAAAGGAAAAAAGAAAAAATAACGGTAAAATCTAACTGTGTCCAATCTCTCATGTATTGGA